AGACACAGGTGCTGAACGCATGCAGGAATGAGCAAACCTAAGATTTGGGGTTGTTTCTCAGGCTTCTCATTTGCAAAACAAGGCCACTTACTTCCTAGGGTCGCGGATTCCTTCATTGATTTACTCAGTAAATGGTAAGCGCCCTCAGTGTGCCGGGCTCTTTGCTGGAGGCCTAGAAATATAAACTCAGTGCAAAGCAGCCCTGTGGGGATTGAGGGAGGACGTGCAGATCGCCGGCATGTGGCCTGAGCTCAGTTCAGAGCAGCTGCTTGGATGGGCCAGTTATGCACAAGTTCTTGTCCCGTGATCCAGGGCAAACCAGAGTAAGGTCTGTGGTTGAGGGGATGTGCGATCCATGATGCTGTGCTTTAGATAAGTGTCCCCAAAGACCCATCTGTTAAAGTCCTCTCCCCCAACATGATGCCACCGGGAGCTGGTAGAAATGAAGAGGTGGGGCCTAGTGGGAAGTCTTTGACCATTGGGACAAGCCCTTAAAGGGGACTGTGGGACCTCAGCCCCTTCCTCTCCCTGTGTCTCTCTTGTACACTGACCATGAGGCTAAAAGGCTTCCTCCACCATGATGTGCTGCCTTGCCACAGCCCCAAAAGGAACAGGGCCACTGGCTGATTCACACTTGATATTAGTAGGCATTCTACCCTATGTCCCTGTGTGGTGGGTTCCTTTGTCTAGTTCCTCTGTCTGCTTTTTCATTTGTAAAACGGACATGGGAGGAAATCCATCCCTAGTTCCCATGGTGAAGATAGACAAGATGGACAAAGGAGTTCTTTCCCACTAGCAGCCTCAGAGAGCTGAAGTGTGGGTCAATGGAGGGAACAACGGTGATGTTCTTTCAGAGCACTACCTGAGGTCCCCCTTCTGCTTAGTGGCAGAGCTGGGCTGGGAGCCATTGATTTCAAGCCCAATGCTCGGGCTTCTAAACCATGCACATACCCTCCACAGTTGGTCCCCAACTGTGGCCTTCTCTGGATGTCAGAGAATGCCTGAGCATTTCACAACAGTAAGGGACTCCATGGTCAGGCAAGTCTGGACACCTTGGGTGATCAAGGTGGCAGGACTCCTCAGGCCTCTCATCTGCATGGGGAGGGGAGCATGTGAAGCTTTCCCAGCCATGGAACTGAGGTAGAGGGGGCTGGGCAGGGTGGAGGCAGGCTCTGTAGCTCACTGTGTGGGCCTCACTTTCCTTGTCCTGGGAAGAAACTTCTATTTGGATAAAGAACCAGCATCCTCCTGGGTGACATGCAGATCTCTGTGCAAATCTCAACTCAGACCCAGACACTGATTTTTGGAACATCAGTATGGGCAGTGACAGACCCTCAGTTTAGGTAGCAAAGATAGACCCCAAGTCTCTGTCCATTTGCCCAGGGCTCTGTCCCTGATTTGCTAGATGACCTTGAACAAAACCCCAGTTTCCACACTATGAAAAGAGGAGATGGGATCCTTAAGTACAAGTCAAGCTGTGGCTCCTGAATCCCTGGTGGGGGACTCTTGGTCTCTCCTGGCTTCCCCTAAGCTACATATCCTGTGTTTGATGTACTGGGGTTATGTGGTATGTGTCAGAACAGAACACTGAATAACTTCCCTACAGAGTGGTCTTTTTTTTTTTTTTTTTTTTTAGTTTAGTTTTAGGTAGACACAGTATCTTTATTTTATTCTTTTTATGTGGTGCTGAGAATCGAACCCAGTGCCTCACGCATGCTAGGCGAGCCACATCCCCAGCCCTCATAGTGGTCTTTTAAAAAGACAGGCTTCACCAATAAAATAATGTGGGGGGGAAAGACAGGACTTGGAGGGCTCCAGGCCGGCCCAGCTCCTCTGTGCATCCTGTACCTTCCTGTGCTTCTTTTTGCCCTGGTTATTCAGGAAGCCACATGGGTTCACAGACCACAGCCCAACCCACACAGAACCCACCATGATCCAGGAGTCATCCTTAGTCTAAGCACAGAGTCCTGCACAAGCCAAGAAATTTTTCATGCCTTTATTTCATTTTGCATGATAAAGTACCAAGCAAGTCTTTTTTTCCCTTATTTCTTTCAAATACAGACAAGTTTTAATTAAGTGGCTGATTATCCTGGAGCCCCCATCCCTAGAGCCATGCCCTTTCAGGTCACCCAGTGGTTGCGAGCTCCACAAGGGCCAAGACCTGGGGGTGTCAGGCTCACTGAGGAAGCCACAGTGCTGGGCACATGCTGGGGGCCAGTGAGTGTTGGCTGCATTGGGAAATGAATGAGTGGATGAATGGATGAATAACTGGATGTCTGGAGCCCAGGAGCAGAATTCCTAAGCACAGGACCCATACAGTAGGCACAGAGCGTGTCCACCTGCCCTTCCGAGTCCTTCACCTGTGACATGGTGTCATGCTGAGTCTTCATCACTCCTCCATAAATACTTCTGAATGTCCTGGGATCACCCAGTAGAAAGGGCTATCCATGGAGGGACTTCAAGATCCTGGGCCCTTATGACTACCTGGCAGGTGGCTCCATACAGAGGCCTGACATAGAGCAAGTGTCTCACAAGTTATTTCTTAGTTATTTGCGCAACAACCCATCAGACCAACCGGTTGTTTGTTTGTTTGTTTCACTTAACAGATCGGAAATCCAAGGTCTAGAGCAATTCTGGGGTCCCAGCTAAAAAGGCTGAGCAGGACAAAGACCCTCATCTCTCGTTCTGGAGATAGGGGCCTTCTTAAATGCCTCTCTTCATTGAGGTCTCTCTGGATCTCAAGGGTTCTGGCTGGCCCTTAGGCCTAAACCTCCTAGCTGGGAGCTCTCACTGAACTTGGGGGACAGGGCCAACCCTGCTACCTGGGCTGGGTGTGGGATAGGGAAGGGGTGTATGCCCTCAACTCTCCCAATTCTGGGACCAGCCTCCAAGCAGAAAGAATGGGGCTTCTATCTTGTCAACAGGTCCAACAGTTCTCGTAGGAACTACAGAGCCCAGAAGTCCCTCCCCTGGCAGCTGGGTGTAGCCTCCTTGTCCACGAGGCCCCAACAGGTCTCTCAGGCTTTAGGTTCAAATCCTGGCTCTGCCCCCTCTGCTGAGCAGAGGGGGCATGTTCTCAAGGCCTCAGTCTCCCCGTCAGTGCAACGTGAGTGCTTTTCCCACGCCTCCTGGAGTCACTGGAGGACTCGAGAGTGACAAGGCACAGGGAGCACGGAGGTCCTTGCAGGGAAGCAGTGACTCTAGGCTATTCCTGCTGACATCGCCCTGTTGCCAGCACACTGCTGCCACTGGACCCCTGTCTTTGGTCCTGCAGCTCACCTCCTTAGGCTAGACACAGGGTCCCCTCCCTTCCTCTGCCATCTCTGGTTCTTAACACCTGATGGATGAGGGCTGCTGCAGAATGACGGACGAATCCAGAGCAGAGGCTTAAGATAGTCAGGTAGCCTCTATGTGAAAACAACTTCTGGTTATTTGGGGAGTTTTTCTTTTTCTCTCTATAGTTTCTTTTACCAGTATTACCAAAGCATTATCATCAATATAAAAAAATAATAATAATAATAATTAAAAGGCTGGGAATGAGGGTTGAGGCTGAGACTCAGTGGTGGCACACTTGCTTGGCATGGGTGAGGCACTGGGTTCCATTCTCAGCACCACGTATAAATAAGTAAAATAAAGGTCTATCAACAAGTAAAAACTATATACATATTTTAAAAAAGGCTGCAGATGTGGTTCAGTGGTTAAGCCTTCCTAGGTTCAATTCCTAGCACCAAAAGAAAAGAAAAAGAAACACCAACTACAGAGTCAACTACAACTCCTGGGGAAAGGGAGAGCCCGATTTGCACACATCAACATACAACATACAAAATGTTCAATTTTCAACAAAAATTGCCAAGTATGCAGAGAAACTATGGCTAAAAGTAATCAATAGAAACTGCCCTGAAAAAACATAAGAGCATTATGTTAAGTAAAAGAAGCCAAACTCACAAATTCAAAGAGAGTATGTTTTCTCTCATATATGAAAGCTAGAGAACACAGGAAAAAACACTGCAAGGAAGGATCCTCTGAAAACAGAAGCGAGACTAGCAGAGGAAGGGGACCAGAAGAAGGGAGGAGGGGACTGAAAGGGAGCAATAAAATTAATTTATTAAATCTATTAATTTATTTATTATGTTGTGTTCATGCATAACAGTAAATCCCACTATTATGTATAATGATAATGCACTGAAATTTTTTAAAACTAAAATAGAAAAGGAAAAAAAAACTGTCCTTGAGGAAACCCAGATGTTGGACTTACTAGACAAAGCAGTGAAATAATTGATTTTATACATGTTCAAAGATCTGAAATAAAGCATGCATAAAGGAATAAAGGTGACAATTTTGGAGGACATTAGTAAAAACAAAGTATAAAAAAGAATCAGGCAGAAATTCTGAAAGTTGAACCATATAGTAACTAAAATGAAAAATTCACCAGAGGAGCTCAAAAGTAGATTTGAGCAAGCAGAAGGGGAAGAAACAGTGAACTTTAAGATAGTTTAATACAATGTTAATATGTATATAGTATAATAAGTAGTGATACATATTGCTGTATATAATGTAACAATACACATTATGTATTATATAGTACATTTTATTATATATGTAGTAAAAGAAATGACAAGGGAAAGAAAATGATACATTAGAAAATATTGACAACACAAAAGAGGACAGTAACAGAAACTGAACAAAAAAAAATTACTCCATGCTAATAAATAGCCAAAGGAAAGCTAGAGTGACTATGTTGATATCAAAGTCTAGCCAAAAGTTGCTGTTTTAACCCTTTTTTAAATGTACAGTAAGGCAGCATTAATTACATTCATAATATTGTACAACTACCTCCTGTATTTCTAAAACTTTTCTTCACCCCAAAGAGAAATTCTGCAATGATTAAAAAATAATTCCCCATTTCCCTCTCCCCTCTGTCCCTGGTAACCTCTAATCTACTCTGGCTTTATGAATTGGTCTCTTATAAGTATTTCATATAAATGAAACTACAGGAAAAATAGAATTTAAGCCAAAATTTATTCATGAAAAGACAAAGGAGGGCACTATACAATGAAAAAAGATGAACAAAATAATTTATAACATGAATACACCTAAAAACAGAGCCCCAACATACATGGAGCAAAACCTGACAGAATCAAAGAGAAATGAACTATAGTAGTTGGAGACTTCAGTCCCTTTTCAATAATGAATACAAGATCAGCAAAGATACTGTTGATTTGAGCAAATTTGTAAACCAACTAGACCTAACATTCCATACATAATGACTGAAAGACTTGTTAAGATGCCACTGGTTCCTAAATTAACCTATAGATTCAATGCAACCCCTGTAACAAATCCCAACTATCTTTTTTTCTTTCTGTGCAGAAATTGAAAAATCATTCCCAAAATTCATATGGGAATGCAAGGGAAACATAATAGCTAAAACAATTTTGTAAAGAATGAAGTTCAAAGTTATTTCCTGATTTCCAAACTTACTTTTTCAAGGCTACAGTAGTCAAGACAGTGTGGTACTGACATGAGGATTAATCGAGAGGAATCTTGCATCCAGACATAAATTTATATGACTATGATTAGTTCGTATTTGACAAAAGTGCCAAGATCAAGGATGTCCCCATGATGACTTCTGGGACAACCATGTGGCCTTTAAGCCACCAATGATTCTCAGGCCTCTCAGAGATTGTTCCATGCTCTGTGAAAGCCCCTCCAAACTCTAATCCCAGGAGTTCTCAGCGCATCTCAGCATGTCAGTTAAATCATACTAAAATAAACACTTGCTTCATGTGAGGTGGACATGCACAGTCCTTCACCTTGAGAAGGGCGGCTGGTCCTTTCCACTAGTGTACAAAATAAATTGAGAATCCTGTGAGTTCTCTAATTGAAACAAGGGAAAAAAACCCACAATGAGTATGCTGTAGTAGAAACAGGATTTTAATATAATAATCAAGTCTAACATTTACTATTTACAACAAATATTGCCCCATGCATATCAGTAAACATTTATTTTGCTTTTCATGCAAATATTTAGTTGCTCTCTAAATCATCATTCCCTCTGAAACCCTCAGTCTCCTGTGGGTAAAGCCCATCTGCATAAAGCCTAGGACGCAGTGGTGAATGGCACTTTCTATGGCATGAGATTCAACATTGGTGCTGTCCTCAAGGGCAGTTAAGGAGTATGGTCCCTAAAAAGGATTCTCTCTTTGCTCCTGGGGAAGTCTGGGCATAGATGGGTGAGACATTCATGAGGAGGGAATCTTTGGTGGAGATGGAGAAAGCAGTCCATAGTAGTAAGAGGAGGGGAGAAGAGCCAGGGAAGTTCCCAGGCCAGTGTCTGAGGGCACCAGGAGAGAACTGCAGCAGGAGTCAGAGCTGCTGGGTGGGGTACTTTGGGTTGCCCAAGGGCAGTGAACTACACCTGGAAAGGTCATCCCAGGCAGTGACTATCACATAGGGAGGTATTAGAAATGTGCAGGGAGGCCAGTACCTGAGGCAGGCAGGATGTCATGCCCATTGGCAGCACTTCTTAGCAACAAGCAGCTAGTCCTCTGGTTCCAGAGGGCAAAAGGCACCTAGGCAGTGAGTGGTCCAGGGAGGCCAGTTCAGCCTGCTGAATAGCAGGGGTTAGTTAAAACCACATCAGGGGAGGATATATATGGGTCAAACTATATTCTGGGCTGCCATGTGGGCAAAAGAAGCGTGCTTAACTTGGTTACTCTAGTCTGAAAGTGTTTGACCATTAGCCAGGCAGACCCCAAGTAGATGTTCTTAGAAGATGCCCTTGGCTATCTTGAGCCACCTTTACCTCAAGCTGGCTCTGTGCTGGACATTTAGCCACTAAGTGAAGGTCTACTTTTTCAAGATGAAATCATAGGTGGTGATAGAGTTCATGGCATAGAACATATTGGTGTCTTTAGGGATCTTAAGCTCTGGTGGGACAGAGACAGAGGGATAGTCAGTGATATTTATGGGGACTGAGTAGGACAACCCCCACTACCCAGAACAGGCCTGGGCAACAGACCTGAAATTCCTTCAATCCAGCTCCAGTACTACCAGGGACCACTCTCAATGGCTCCTGCCTGAGGACAGACTGTGCTGGGATCCTAGACACACCTAACACCTCTTCTTTAACAAAGGTCTTAAACTTGAGCATGTCCCAGATCAGCCTGGAGCTGATAAGGGCACACTACTACGATATGGATCTGTAGTGTCCCACCAAGGCTCATGTGTTCACAGGAGGGGCTTTGGAGAAGGGATTAGACGGTAAAGGGTCTGACTTCATCAGTGGATTAATCCATTGATAGCGGATGTACTACTAAGTGGTGGTGGAAACTGAAGGCAGGTGGGGCATGATTGGAGGAAGTATGTTGGGGGGGGGGGTGGCATGCCCTTGAGACTATATCTTGTTTTGGACCCTTCCCTGCCCTTCCTCGCTCAATTGCGCACGCTCTCGCTTACTCGTTCTCTCTCTCTCTCTCTCTCTCTCTCTCTCTCTCTCTCTCTCTCTCTCTCTGTTTTCTGGCTGCTATGAGTTGAATAAAAATTTAAAAATAAAAGAAAGATTTTCAATATGTGAAACTACAAAGGGCCTGAATATGAAAGCCCAAGAAAATATGTCATCTGAGAAATAGTTAAGGTATAACACAGCTCCCCAGGTTTTAGCCCTAGAGTAAGGCTCTCCAAAAATAAAAAAATAAATTGACCAAGAGATCCAAAGTCCTGTACCCAAGTTCCCCTTTTCCTATAAGGATTCCTCACTCTCCTTCTCACTGCCACAACCACAGTGCTCCCAAGGACTTGCTCCATCCCTTCTCAGAACTGGCTCAGTTACCAAAACTTGTCCATTGTGTCTCCTAATTACAGCTAAGGAAAAATCTCCCCCCCAAAATTTTTTTAATAAATAAGGAAAACACATAAAACAGAAAAGAAAGGCCAGCCTACACAGATGTTTGTTCCTACAGTATTAATTTTGAGGGTCCCAGCCTACTCCAGTAGCAACACTGTAATCCCAGATTCCTTCAGCTCCCAGCTCCCTGTCTATTCACCAGCTGAGCAATCTCATTTCTATCAAAAGAGGTGCTTCTTTCCTCCATTCAAAGCCATGAATGTATTGCTAACCTACTTACACCTCATGCCACTACTTTCCATTCTAGCCTATTATTGATTTAGTTCAGTCAACAAATATTTACTAAATTCTATTTTATGCCAAGCATTGTCCTAGGCCCTGGAGTTGTTACCATGAACAAAAAAATGACAGGAATACTTTCTCTTATTGATCTATTTTACACCATAGAAGACATCAAGCGCTGAACTAGGGAATATCATGCTAAGCGAAATAAGCCAATCCGAAAAAACCAAAGGCCAAATGTTTTCTCTGATAAGCAGATGCTGATCCCTAGTAGGGTGGTGGGTAGGGAAGATTGAAGGAACTTTGGATTGTGCAGAGGGGAGTGAGAGGAGGGGTAGGGGAGTGGGGATGGGAAGGACGGTAGAATGACAGACATTATTATCCTATATACTTGTATGATTACACTACTGGTGTGACTCAGCACCATGTAGGGCCAGAGGAATGAGAAGTTATGCTCCATTTGTGTACAATGTATCACAATGCATCTACTGTCATGTATAACTAATCAAAATAAATTTTTTTAAAAGAAAACATCAAGTGCTTGCACATGGCAATAGTAAGCTTTGTTTTGGAATTTTTTGTTTCAGTTTTTTACATATGTGTGTATACTTGTGTGCATACTTGAGTAATGATGTCAAATAAATGTATTCAATATTGTGGACCAAGGCTTAAAAATACACAAACCATGGAGCTGGGGTTGTGGCTCAGTGGTAGAGTGCTTGCCTAGCATGTGTGAGGCACTGATTTTGATTCTCAGCACCACATATAAATAAATGAACAAAATAAGGGCCCATCAATGTCTAAAAAATATTTTAAAAAATATACAAACCAGTGAAATAGAGAATGCAAGGAGTAAGGTAGCATTGAAATACTAAGTAGGATGCTCAAGGAAAGCCTTGAGGAGATGACATTTCAGGAAAGCCTTGAAGGAGGTGTGGGGTGAGCAAGGAAAGCACCTGAGGAAAAGTCATCCAGCAGAAAGAGCAGCAAGGGAGGATGGGCAGGAGAAGAGATAAGAGTTAAATCTGGAGAGGTAACTGGGAGGTGGACCATGTAGGGCCTTGTAAACCACCACTAGGACTTTGGATTATGATATAGCACATTGGTGGGACAGTGGGTGGCATTTTAATAGTCTGTAGATTGAATACTAATAGTATCAATGTTGATTTTCTGATTTTAATTATTATGATTATGTAAAGTATTTTCTTATTTTGAGGAAATGTACTGAAGTATTTAGGGATAAACGAACATGATGTCTACAATTTGCTCTCCATATTTTAGAAAAAAAATGTATGTTATTCAGACACTGAGCAAGAATGATAAAGCATATTGTTAATTTGGGTAAAAGGTGTACAGTCCTTTATTGTTTTTGCAACTTTTCTCTTAAATCTGAGGACTAAGTGGATTATAGAGTAGGAAGAAAGACCTTCCACTGGGGCCAACAACCAGCAGTTTGCTCCTGGTCCTGCCTCTGACAGCTTCTTATTTTGCCCCAAACCATTCAGGCATTACCACTGCTGCTCTTTGGCATCATCATCTCTGTTTGCTTAGAGGCATATTTTTCTGAATCTTAGCCTTAGAATTGGTTTTATATGCCTTTTTAGGATAAAATTTCTATGGGGTACATTATTTTAATCTCTAACTCACAGCATATGCTGAACATGACCTAATTTGGAAATGGAGTCTTTACAGAGGGAAGTTATTATATGTTCAACAGATGGACCCTGATCCAATATAACTGGGAGAAAAGGGGAGAGATTTGGCTACAGAAATACATAAATTTGGCATACGGGAAGATACCCATTTCTAAGCCAAGGACAGATCCTTCCCTCAGAGTCTCTGAACAAACCCTGTCTGCCAAGTGCTTTGGGCTTTTGGTCTCCAGAACAATAATATCTGTGATCTAAACTACTAGTGATTTAAATCTATGGTGATTTCTTATAGAAGCCTTAGAAAACTAATAATCCTTTAACCTGATACAATGAACACAAAGAAGCCCATCCTGACTTAAAGTAGAAATCAGAATTTACCACTATGAACATATAAGAATCATGGACATTGGACTGGGGTAGTAGCTCAGTGGTAGAGTGCTTGCCTAGCATGCATGAGGCACTGGGTTTGATCTTTAGCATCACATAAAAATAAATAAATAAATAAAAGTATTGCATCCATGTACAACTAAAAAAAAATTTAAAAGAATCATGGACATTTGTGTTCAAAATTGTTATACTATTTTACTTAAGAAATTAAAACATAATGTGTGTTGGCAGGAGCATGTTCATGTGACTCTATAGTATAATACCTGATAGCTAATTTTTTTTTTTTTTGTCATGAAAAAGATAGCATTGTACTGAGGGTCAGAAATCCTTAGTTCTGGTACTATCTCTGCTACTGACTACTTTAGGACCTTTAGCAAGTACCATAAATTCTGGCCTCAGTTTCTTATGAGGTATAAAGAGCAAAGGGTTATAGCAGAATAACTATACCCACTTCTATTCTAAGCATTATATATATTAAAAGTAAATTGAGCTAGGCATGGTGGCAAAATAAAAATAAAAAGGGCTGGGATGTGAGTATTAAAGCACCTCTGGGTTCAATCTCCTACCAAAAAAAAAAAAAAATCAACTGAAATATGTGATGTGGGTTTTAGCCACACTGGTCATTAATAATGTACTTCTTCCAGGCCAATGTTGAGTTATAACTGAAATTGAAAAGAGCCAAGGATTGAATTTTCTAAATAAAGTTTACCACTATACTAACAATAAAGAAAAAAGATTGGATGTCTCGCTGGCCCCTCACTAAGCAACAGATTTTTTTTTTTTTGTACTACAGATTGAACCCAGGGGCTCTTAACCAATGAGCCACATCACCAGTCCTTTTTATTTTTCATTTTGAGACATGGTCTTACTAAACTGCTTAGGGCCTCACTAAGTTGTTGAAGCTGGCTTTGAAATTGTGATTCTTCTGCCTCTGCCTCCAAAGTTGCTGGGATTACAGGTTGTATCACTGTGTCCAGCAATAGGTGCATTTTAATGGAATGGTGGCACCACGCCCAACTGGTAGATAGTTTTACATGGGCAGGGCCTTGTAATATCCTCAATTTATATTATGGGAGGAGTGAGTGATAGTTAACATAAAGCAGTCTCCATCTGGTATACAATGTATGCAGTAACACAGCACATAATATTGACAAACTCATTGTCCCTATTTTCTGCTTCTATAATAAATTCAAGGTGATTTTTATTTTCTTTTTGAGATTTTCCTGATATTCTTCAATGAACCTGTGTTACTTTTAAAATTGGAAAAGAACATACTCATTGAACAAGTCATGAATTGACTCATCAAGCTACCATACATTCTAAAAACATGAACTAATCTGCAGTCCACAGGATGTGAAATATAAAGATTTTTTTCTAAAATCAAAATAAGCTCTTTGCAATTGGTTTAAGAATATTGGGACATCTCAGAATGCTCACAATTTGTAAATATTCTTTAAAGTACAAAAGATAATAAATACTTTTAGGAGATTTCTGCACTCACCATAAACTAGTAAGGTAAGAAATACAAGATTTTTAAAATATTTTTTAGTTGTAGAGGGACATAATACCTTTGTTTTATTTATTTATTTATTTTTTAATGTGGTGCTGCGGATTGAACCCAGTGCCTCACATGTGCTAGGCAAGTACTCTACCACTGAGCTACAACCTAGTCCCAAGATTTTTTTTTTCCTTAAGAACAACAACAGGGGGCTGTAGTTGTGGCTCAGTAGTAGATCGCTCACCTAGCATGTGTGAAGCATTGGCTTCGATCCTCAACACCACATTAAAAAATAAATAAATAAATAAATAAATATATTGTGTCCATCTACAACTAAAAGACTTTCTTAAAAATAAAAAAAAAAGAACAAAGAGGCCATCCCATGGTCAAGGACATTATGCCTGCCTCCACCATTTCAGAGGAAAAAAAATCCCTGTACAATAACAACTTGATGGTGAAGTTGTGGTGAAACAGAGTGGTTGTGAGGCAGCTGGGGTGTTAGGAGTACATGGACCCTCATCTCCCAGGGACCCCCCAGAAGGTGCTGCTCTGCCTGCCATAGCAACTCATGGACAGCTTTACTCAAGCCAATGCAAGGGAGGAGTGGATGAGGGGAGGAAGGACAAAAGAAAAAAAGGCTCTCTTAGGCTTCAAGTGTGAAAAAGACAGAGTTCTGTGAGAACATCAGTTCTGGAGTAATTCATGGAGCTGCAATCCTAGAATGTAGCGGTTTCTGACTGTGTTTAAGAAACTTTTACAGGTTTGGGATGAACACAAAACCTACTTAACTGGCTCTTTTATTGCAAGTGATTTCAAGTTGCTCATCAAAATAGGAATCTACCCTAAGTTTCTTTGGCAGTAGAGTGAAATAATTTGGGCCATAAAAAAGTAGCATATACTTGGGATTTCTTAGAGATCTTGTGTATGAATATATTTTATACACATACATGCTAAAACACATTATAGATTTTACATATATGTGTACACACACACACACTCGTGCACACTGTTTACTCCAACTTCACTGTGTTCCTTGGTCCACTGTAGAGAAACTTCAAAAAATCAAAGCATTTTGATTTTTCCTATCACCACTCACCTCAGAAGCAGTGAACAGAAGAGCTAAGTTGGGGGGCAGCAACAATGATTTTCTTCTTCAGTCTTACAGATGATGCTGCTTCCCCTCAATTATAAGGAATAAAATTGGAAGAGACTGAGAAATTAAAGTTGAAAACAGTGGGATAAATAAATTTATCAGTGCTGAATAAATTTCCAATTCAGCCCAGTCTGTATATATGTGCTTTAATTGCTTTATCTGAACCTGTCAGGTTAAAGCAACAATGCTTAAAAATATTCTAAACCCAGTCAAGGAATGATTGCTAATGTTGGGACAACATGATGAATCATTTCAATTAGCACAATAAGGAAGCTAGTTGTAAATACATAATTAGGGCTCTTTGATGAGCAGAAATGAGCTTCAGTAGAAAAGAATGGAGGTTAAAGCAGCAACGTCTAAGGTTCCATCTAATCTTGGGAGTTAAAGGTCTATGTGAAAGAACACCGTCAACTCCGGAACCAAAGTAAAGAGGATCTTTCCCAAAAGCCAAGAATGGGACAATCTGAACAATGGGAAAGGTAAGAGCTACAATAGACTGAAATTCTTCAAATATTTTTAGATCCATGGCTGATTCTAGGAAAAAAATAATTGGTCACTTTAGGAGGATTATTTTAAAATCCACTGCTTTGAAAACTAGTAAGTATAGTGAGACTCAAACATTGAACTTATGAGACTAAAAATGTTAAGTGAAGGGAAATTTCTTCTTGAAGAAGTATATCAGGGCTGAGGCAGTTGCTCAGTGATACAGCTCTTGCCTCTAACATGTGAGGCACTGGATTCAATCCTCAGCACCACATTAAAAAAAAAAAAAGATATTGTGTCTATCCACAACTAAAAAAAAATATATTTAAAAAGAGTACCTCTGCTTGTGCTGGGGTTGTGTCTCAGCAGTAGAGTACTCACCTAGCAAGTGCGGGGCGCTGGGTTCAATCCTCAACACCACATAAAAATAAAATAAAGATGTTGTGTCCACCGAAAACTAAAAAATAAATATTAAAAAATTCTCTCTCTCTCTCTCTCTTTAAAAAAATAAATAAATAAGTAAAAGGTATTGTGTCCAACCACAACTAAAAAATATTTTTTAAAAAAAGTACCTCACAAACAACAATAAGTGTTGTCGAGAATGTGGGGGAAAAGATGCACTCATACATTGCTGGTGTGACTGCAAATTGGTGCAGCCAATATGGAAAGCAGATGGAGATTCCTTGGAAATCTGGGAATGGAACCACCATTTGACCCAGCTATCCCTCTCCTTGGACTATACCCAAGGATTTAAAAACAGCATCCTACAGGGACACAGCCACATCAATGTTTACAGCAGCACAATTCACAATAGCTAAACTGTGGAACCAACCTAGATGCCCTTCAGTAGATGAATGGATTAAAAAAATGTAGCATATATACACAATGGAATATTACTCAGCAATAAAGAGAATAAAATCATGGCACTGGGCTAGGGATGTGGCTCAAGCAGTAGCGCGCTCTCCTGGCGTGCATGTGGCCTGGGTTCGATCCTCAGCACCACATACAAATAAAGATGTTGTGTCTGCCGAAAACTAAAAAAAAAAATAAATATTAAAAAACTCTCTCTCTCTCTCTCTCTCTCTCTCTCTCTCTTTAAAAAAATCATGGCATTTGCAGGTAAATGGATGGCACTAGAGAAGATAATGCTAAGTGAAGTTAGCCAATCCCACAAATGCCAAGTGTTTTCTCTGATATAAGGAGAATGACTCATAGTACGGTAGGGAGAGGGAGCATGGGAGGAATAGATGAATTCTACATAGGGAAGAGGGCTGGGAGGGAAAGAGAGGGGGCAGGGGATTAGCAAGGACATCATTATTCAAAGTACAAGTATGAAGACACGAATTGTTGTCAACATATTTTATATACAACCAGAGATATGAAAAATTGTGCTGTATATATGTAATAAGAATTGTAATGCATTCTGCCATCATTTACTTTTTAAAAATTAGTTAAAAATTAAAAATAAATAATCAAAACAGTACCTCAGCTAATAAACAACAATAGAATCATAATATCACCATTTTTTAACTCCTAATGTATTAATGGATCCAAGAAATGATCATCAATCACTGCCAACATCACAAGATTGGACAGATTTTGTACATCTCTTAATGGAATTACATTACCTATGAACTATTCACATGTGTGTATGCATATAAAAATACAAACCAGAGTTTGATCAAATCTTTAAATTTAACTAGTAATTTATAGAAAACATAGACAAAGAGAATGATAAATGAGAACACAGGGATTCAATCAGCAAAACCCAACTGTAAGAAACTCTTCAGGAAAAATGACTCAATGGCTTTAAGAACTGCAAGGAAAAGTAGACAGAGGGGGAACCTTCTGATTGAAGACTTAGGTGAATTCAATTGCAATGTACAGGCCTTCTTAAAATCTGAATCAAACAACCAACTCTGCCAGGCACCCATGATACACAACTGTAATCCCAGTGGCTCGAGAGGCTGAGGCAGAAGGATTGTGAGTTCAAAGCCAATCTCAGCAACTTAGCAAGATCCTGTCTCTAAATAAAATATAAAAAGGGCTGGGGATGTGGCTCAGTGGTTAAATGCCCCTGAGTTCAGTCTCCAGTATCCAAAATAATAATAATAATAATAATAATAATAATAATAATAATCAACTCTAAAAATGTGTTAAGAAAATCTGGCAAATATAAACACTGATTTGGTATGTAGTAATATTAAGAATTCACTGTTATTTGCTACTCAGAGGTTGAAGCATGAGGATTACAAGCTCAAGGCAAAAATGGCATTTTACTGAAGTCATGTCTCAAAATTTTTAAAAAGGGCTGCAGATGTAGCTCAGGGATAAAATGCTACCTGGCATAGCCCTGACTTCAATCAATCTCCAGTACTGAAGAACAACAACGAAATAACCTTACCATTATTTGTGTGACAATGCTGTTGTTCTACTTTTCTATGTGTACGTGAATAATTTCTTAGGCTTATTTCAAAATAATATGGAAAATTAGAGGAGTAGTAGATATGGATAGAAGCAAAACAAGCATGGTCACATGTTGTCAATTATTGAAGTTATATGATGAATACACATGGGTGTACATGTTTGTAACTCCTAATGAATTAATGGATCCAAGAAATGATCATCAATCACTGCCAACATCATAAGATGACAGATTTTGTACATCTCTTAATGGAATTCCATTACCTATGAACTATTCGCATGTGTATATGAATATAAAAACACAAACCAGATAGATAGCTATGGCTGGATGAATGGGTAGACAGACAGATAAATGAAAGGATATGGCCATCTCCCTGGCCATGTTACCACAGTGGAGCAAGGGGTCTATATAAGACCAAAACTTTTAGAGTGACACTTCAAAGGCTCATGTGTAGATGGGCATGGTGGCTCATTCTGTAATCCCAATGGCTCAGGAGGCTGAGGCAAGAGAACTGCAAGTTCAAAGCCAGCCTCAATAACTTAGTGAGGCCCTAAGCAACTTAACAAGACCCTGTATCAAAATTTAAAAGGAGGGGGCTGGAGATATGGTTCCGTGGTTGAACACCCTTGGGTTTAACCCCTGATACCAAAAAAAAAAAAAAAAAAGACTTATATATAATGAGAACATCACCTAAGAGTACAAAAAAGTAGGAGTAAGTCACATAGTGCATCAAAGGGAGTATGATAAAAATAGAAGCATTTTCAGGAGTGTAGACTGAGCAAAACATTTTTCACCATTCCTGCACTTAATTTTCATGAAAGACATAAGGGTGCTTAAATTGAAGATTCATGGGGTTCATAAAAGGGCACACACACACACACACAAAAAAAAAAAACCCTACAACTAACATAATCAACGGTGAAAGACTGCTTTTCTCCAGAGATTAGATCAAGGCAAGAATGTATGCTTACCCTCCCATTCAACACAGTACCGGAAGTGTAAGCCTATGCTATAAAAAAAGACATCCCTATTGAAAAGGAATAAGTACAATTGTCCCTCTTCACAGATTACATGATTAACAATAATAACCTTCAGATACAGGAAAATCTACAAAGCAACAGGACACTGAGTCAACTGATAGGGCCCTCCCACAAGATCACTTTGGCTTCCTTCCTCCATTCTGACCCTTTCTGTCAGTTGAATCAGTTTTTGATCTCCACAAGAAACCAGGTATGATGGTAAAAAAGAAAATCCAAGAGAAAAATCTCCCACAAAAATGTCCTACAACTAATAAGTGAGTTTAGCAAGGTCACAGGATACACATTGTTAAAACCAATTCTGCCCGGAATTCTCACATTTTTGTACATTTTTCCAAGCAGAGAAACCTTCAGATTTTTACGTGAACTATTCAGGATGTTGTACAACTAAAATATATGGTATTACAAATGAGGATAATAGAGATTTTAACAGGTCATGGACATTAGAAGCTTATTTGGTTGGTCCCCAAACAGTCACCACTCAGCTCTAAAAAAAATGTAACATGTCTTGTTTACTGATATGAAGCCACTCTTTCTTTCTGCCCCATGGATTCCTCCTTCCTCCTCTATTCTCTCTGTTCTTCTGCTTTAAAAAGTGATTTAGGGAGCTGGGGTTGTGGCTCAGTGGTAGAGTGCTTGCCTAGCACATGCAAGGTGCTGGGTTCGATCCTCAGCACTACATAAAAATAAATAAAAGTAATTTAGATTTGGGCAGAGGTCTATCTGAAAAGGGAATATAAGCCCATTTGCACCAATATGCAGGAGAACTTGACAAGTAAGGGACTCAAATTTTTATGACTCCGTTGGAAAGACATCTAAGTGACCATCCTACCTGGTTTCTTTTGGGAATGGAAAACTCAAACTCAACTAAGAGGTCAGGAAGGATTCATAGGCAGGAGGGAAGGTAAGTGACCTTGTGGGAGGGCCCTTTCAGTTGATTCTAGGTACTGCTGTTTTGTTGTTTTTCCTGTGTCTGGATATAGGAACCTCTAGGTTATATACTTGTACTTCTTTATCCCATGTCAATGGAAGAGTCAGAATTCTGTTCTTCTGATTTTTTTCTATGTCAAATAGTTAATAGATTAAATTAAGTATTCAGGTAGTGCCTACTACATAAAAGGCAACATACTTGTGCAGATAAAGGGAGAACAAATTCCAATTTTTCCCTAAGGCTATTGAATACTTTCTGCCAAACAATTTATTCACTCTTCTTTAATAGCTTTTGCTACCATGAAAACATTAAAAATTTTTGCAACTCTTAGGAGTCAGTTTTCCAAATTGTGGTTTTGAGATTATTTTTCTAGTCTCATAAGGAAGTTACTCATCTTACACACTGCACAAAGTCCAACTTTATGGTCATTTTCTCAAGCCATCTCATTATTGAGAGATTTTTTTTCCCCACTTTGGAAAAATCCTTCCCCAAATATTTTGTACACTGTTACAAGTAACAGCAAACCCTGAAGCCCACTGTCTCACTTAGTAAAAGGAATTATTGACTCAATGTGATGGTCTCGGCCCTGTCTTTTTCCTCCTATCAATTTTGTCCTCCGGCTACTTTCTATTATGGTGGCAAATCTGCCAGCAGGAATCAGAGATGTATGTTTCTTCAATTATATCCAAAGTGAAAAAAAAAAAAATCATCACTAAGTCAAAACATTAAACAGAAGCCCCAAACCTCACTGCTTGTATACACTGTAGTATGTCATCCCTGAACTAACCAAACACTAGGGCTGCTACACACTGTTAGAAGAGGAAGAGCAGATGATAGAGAGAGCATCCTAAAGCCTCCAGTGGTCATTCTCTCTTCTAGTTGGCACTTCCTTTAGCTGATAGATTCAGCCACCATTTATTTGTGCGCCGCCTCTTGGCATTCTTTCGGCCATTTCAAACCACAGGGAAATGAGTCGTCGTTCCAGGTGACCTTATTAATTGCAGTGTAATGGGAAGCGCTAATGGAAGGTCAGGGTGACAGCAAACTCTTCAGTAGTTAAGCAGGAAGGCTTGTGGGGGGCACAGTAGGAGCTCGGGTGATCCCACAAGCAAATCTTAGCGGGCTGCCTGTGAAGTGGGGTCCCAGGCTTTCTTCTGGTAATCTCCCCTCGCACGGACCCCATCACCAACAGAAAGGAGTCACAGAACTCAGACCTACCGAGTTCGCGACCCGCAGGCCCGGGACCCAGCCGAGTGAAGCGCACACCCGACGGCACCTCGGTTCAGTCGGCCACGCTGGCCCCAGACCCGGCTGCGGAGCCCAGGGAACAGCCTCCGCAGCCGAGAGGCGGAAGCGGAAGCACCGCGGAGGTGTCGCCTGGGAGACGCTGGAGGCGGGGCCGCCCCGAAGAGCGCGACCTTTGACCCGCAGCCGAGGCTACGTCAGAGGCGGCCGCAGTCGGAAGCCCGGCGGCGGTGGCCGTGGTGCCGTCCGGAGGCGATGGAGGTAACCTCGCCGGGCGGCCTGGCAGGGTCCGGCTTCCCGCCGCCGAGCCTCCCGCGCCACGACTGGGACGAGGGTGGGAGCCCGGGAGGGTTACGCCGCCGCCTTCCCTTACTCTGCCCTGGGCTACCTGTCCCTTGGAGCCCGGCTGGTGCGATCCCCGCCAGCGGAGACCCGCCCCAGCACCCCGCTGTTGGGGTTCCCACCTGAGGGCTGTCCCCCGCGCGGGGTTCCCGACCGGCGGGGTTCACGCGCTAAGCCTGGGATCAGCCAAAGAGTTCCTTTGACACCTGGGTTTGATTTTATTTTGTAGGATCCTGTTCAAGATGGGGTGGCCTCAGCAGCCACCCCTGGGACCGGGAAGTCCAAGGTGAAGAGAGTGTTTGACCAGCAGGCTCGCTCCAGAGTGGAAGGGTGATGGATTAGAAGAACTTTGATGTGGGAGAGGGAGGCCTATTTAAAAGAAAGGACCTCTTCAAGGCATTTCAATTTTAATTGACAGTTACTCATCTATTTTCCGCTTCTCTCTCCTCTCTCCCCTACTCCCCCCAACCTCGATTTCCTGATGGAGAAACCCGTTCTTGTTTACTTCCTGCTCCTGGTTTGCACTGCTACGAGATCCTGCAGTTTTTCGAACATTAAATGAAGCAGTCTGATTTATAAAGATTTCTATAGTGATGCAGTGGAAAAGACCATTGAGTTAGGGTAGGAAACAAGGGGCTCTAGTTCCTATGTTTGTGAAAAGAGAGAGTTGAGTTAGATCATTTTTATGGCCCCTTACAGTATTTAACATTCAGTGATTTCAGATGATAGTGATTTATTGCCAAGATTTATTGTTTGCATGCCAAGTTTCAGGCCCTTGCCTAAGCACTGGGTTTCTTTATTTAAGCTTCATGATAACCATGAGATAGTACTGTTATTATTCTTATTTTACAAATGAGAATCCACAGAGGTTAAGTAATTTTCAAAAGTTGTGAAAGCCCAATTTTTTAGTTAAAGCTGAAAAGTTTCCTGATGTATCTTGTTGCTGTAGTTATGAATTTTCATATGACCAGAGACTTCTTTCAGCTTGGCATAGAATTTTACAGCTCTTTAGGAATTTTAAGAAGTATTAGTTCCAATCCCTAATTGTACAGTTTAAGAAATCAAAATCTAGAACCTCTGTCACAATAATCTGTGTAAGAAGTTAAGTGTTCTTTTTGCTAATAACTGATTCTTGAGTTGAAGGTGCATTTGCTACTTTAAAAAATGTGGAATAAAATATGGTGTTTGATTGGCTTAAAGGTTTAGTCAGTAGAATGTTTTTATTTTTAAGCAGACATTATGGTTTTTTGTGTGACATTCTGGAAATGTGATAACAAGTTGTTACACCTTTCAGCTGGAAACATTGCCCAAGGAAGATCTCATCAAGTTTGCCAAGAAGCAAATGATGCTGTTACAGAAAGCTAAGTCAAGGTGTACAGGTATTAGGTTGAAAATATTTATCTTGGTTAAAAATGGTAGTTTTTTTTTTATTTTTACTTTTTAATATTTATTTTTTAGGTATAGATGGACACAACACAATGCCTTTATTTTTATGTGGTGCTGAGGATCGAACCCAGGTCCGCCCATGCTAGGCGAGCGCTCTACTGCTAAGCCACAATCCCAGCCCAAAATGGTAGTTTAAATAGTACATTGGCCCATTTTTAGTTTTCATGATTCCAAATGCATCTTAGTCACTTGTAGAATCTCACTACTTAACAACACTTACCTCTTTTTGTGTTTTGTTTCGTTTTGTTATTGTGTTTTTTTTAATATTTGCATGTCTAAATTACAGTTATCTTTGAATTGTTAAAGTTAGGGAGGACTATTTTTAATTTTGTAAAGTTAAGCATTTTTTTTTCTTTCATGTGGATTGTAGATTCCTTTGAGTTAAGTGTGTTTTCTAGAAGAGTCAGTTAAAATGTTAGAGATACAAAGTGGTAAGCCCAGAGACATAGTCAATGTCCTTAAGTAATAAATTCCTGGAAATCTGAAATGTATACGTTTGCTGGGATTGGTTGATTTTTCTGTTCTGTTTAATTTTTATTTCAAAAGGAAATTAATGCTAATAGCTTAAGTGGCTGAAGTCTTGAATTTTAGATGACTTAAAAATGTTCACTGCCCAATCTAAAAAGAAAAAAGCCAAGACTTATTTTCTATCAGAAAGTCAAATTATGTTTTAGAATTTGAATCTGCTTATAATTAAGAGAGTAATTTATTTGAAAATGATGTTCTAGGCTCCAGAGCCAAGTTTTTTTGTTTAATATGAGGTTTAATATGAGTTCTTGCTTTAAAATTATACAGTAAGAAGTATTTATAACTGAAATAATATGTGTAGGATTTGTTTCAAAATTATCAGGATGGCCAGGTACAGTGGTGCATGCCTATAGTCCCAGTTACTTTGGAGGCTGACAAGGGAGAATCGCTTGAGCCCAGGAGTTTGAGACTAGCTTGGGCGATATAGTGAGACCCTGTCTCAAATTTTATAATAGGTAAGGGGGGAAGGAGGAAGTGAGTGCTATTAAGCATGAAATATTGTCAGTGTGATAATCACTAAAGCAGGATGATGGGTATATACAGATTAATCATACTATTTTCTCTACTTTTTTATCTTAAGTTTTCCATATTAAAAGGAAAAGAAAAGATGATGCTATTATGTGAGTCAATATTTCTCAAAGTGTCTGCTTCTTAAATATATTCAAATTTATAGGTTATGGAGGGTTTTTTTTTTTTTTTAAAGAATGTACTTATCAATTTAGTGATTATTTTCTGAACTGGAAAATTTTTTCAAATTATTTAGAATTGGAAAAAGAAGTTGAAGAATTCAAATCAAAACCTGTTGATGGAGGAACTGATGATATTATTAAGGTAATGAAACAATTGTGAATATTGCTTCAATTTTTATTTACCAAAAGGAAATGTCAGATGATAAATAGAATTTCCTTGAGGGATGTCAGTTTGCTAGAGGCTATCTGGCATTCTGTCTACCACTTCCTCTCTGGACTTGGTTAAGTTTTTACCAGTCTGATTAACAAAAAAAAAAAAATAGGGCTAATGACCTCTAGATCTCTATCTGAAATGAATATTTTCTCCCCTTTTCTTCCCACATACTTCTTAAATACCTCAGTCTTTGCCCTGTTCCTCCCTGCCCCTCTCAGAAAACCTGGCCATGCTCAGAATTTCATTGTTCTAAAGATACGTGTAATCTGTAGGTAGATCTACATCATTAGATGTGCCTACTGACCCATATCTGAAGTTATATTTCTAGCTGCCTAGGGAAAAAACCCTCACACATTTCACTTGTCATCCTCTCAAGTGTAACATGACCAAATCTCCTCCTCTGGGTGGGTCAGCAGCACCACTGGGCTTTGTGCTTTTTGACTTATGCCTTAACTTTGCGATTTCCTTTATCCTCTACATGTATCAGTTACAAAGACTTGTGGTTACTTCAGCTTTACTTCAGCTTTCTCTCCATTTGCATGGCTCTCTCCTGCCTTCTGTCTTCATATACTTGTTTGGTCTGCTTGTTTTCTAGGTCTGCTACACATTTTTCCTGGAACTGGCTTTGGTGATGATCCTGTGAACTTCTACACTGCTTTCCTCCATCAGGCCCCCATTTGCTAGGGTCTCTCATCATTCACTTTCTCAGTTAACCATCTCATTTTGATAGAGCACATCTTTCTATAGCTTCTTAAGAATGAGTGCATTGGAGGTGCATTTAAAAATGCCTTTAATTAATATTCTTTCACATAAGGAGTTCAAAGGGAGGCAGTCCTAGAGTTGGTTCAGTCTCCTAATGGTGTTGTCATCAGAACCAATTCCTTCATCTCTGTGCTCCTGCATCTTTATCTTATCAACTGGGGAGGCCTGAGGTTTAAGGTTTTAACCTTTATAGTATCTATAAAAAAGACAGATAAGGAAAAAATAGTTGATCATAGAGGTTAAATGAGACAGTCTACAGAAAATGCCACAGAACTTTTTGGAATGCTAATCTAGAATTATATTTTCATTCCAGTTTTCCATTTTGTCTGAGAAATGTCATTGACTTTTAATTTTCCACAATTATATTGAAATTTTTATTTGGGGGTTTGAATGTTTAATTTTGAAGAGCTCATTCTTGATATCTGAAAATTTATACATCTTATTTGAAAATTTAACATGTTCTGTTTTTCTGAGGAAATAAATTCATGCTGTCTTAAAGTTTACCTCTGCTTTTGCATTTTCTGTTTCCTTCAGGTTGAAATATTTTGATCACTTGTGAATCAAAAAGAAAATCTAGTATCTTGAAAATAACATACATCTTCCAAGTAGTCCCCTACTATCCTATGCTGCCCCTCCAGTTTCTCATACCCAAGGTAGCCATTATCCTAGCTGGGCGCATTGGTGCACACCTGTAATCCCAGTGGCTCAGGAGGCTGAGATAGGAGGATATAGCAAGTTCAAAGCCAGCCTCAGCAAAAGCGAGGCCCTAAGCAACTCAGTAAGACCCTGTCTCTAAATAAAATACAAAATAGGGCTGGGGATGTGGCTCAGTGGATGAGTGCTCCTTAGTTCAATCCCCGTACCCACCCCAAAAAAAGTTTCATGAATGTTCAGCTGTAGGAGATTATGTCAAACAGTTTTATAAAGTATTTGAAATAACTTTCACTTCTACCAATAACATACCTAGGATCTGATAGATCCATATCCTCTTCAGCACTAGGTTTTGTCTTACATTTTATTTTTGCCAATTAAATAAGTGTAAAATGAAAGGTCATGGTGATCCTGAAAGGAATCACTCATTTTTTATCCAACATTCATTTTTTTTAATGGACCAGTG